TTTTTTTTTTTTTTTTTCAGAGTCTCACTCTGTTGCCCAGGCTGGTATGCAGTGGAGCAATCTCAGCTCACTACAGCCTTTGCCTCCTGGGTTCAAATGATTCTCCTGCTTCAGCTTTCCGAGTAGCTTTTTACAGGCACACATCACCATGCCCAGGTAATTTTTGTATTTTTAGTAGAGATGGGGTTTTGCCATGTCGACCAGGTAGGTCTCAAACTCTTGACCGCAGGTGATCCACTGCCTTGGCCTCCCAAAGTGCTGGGATTATAGGCGTGAGCCACTGTGTCCAGCCTTGTTCCAATTTTATCCAAGTCTAGTCCCACAAAAAACAGTCCAAAATCTCTCCAGGCCAGACATTAAGTTTGTCAGATATGTTCCATCTTGTTAATTTAATAATAATCTTCTAGCCAACTTCAATTCAGTAGTACATTTTAAATGTAAACATCATATTGATTTTTTTCTCCTCCTAAGAATTAATTTGCTCTAAGAACGTCAAGTTGGTGTCAATGCATTACAATCCAACACTTGCATTTTTTTTCAAGTCATCTCTGTTTACCAAACTATTCCTCATATGTGACTAAAAAAATTTTTTTTTTTACTCTGTTGCCCAGGCTGGAGTGCAGTGGAATGATCTCAGCTCACTGCAACCTATGCCTCCTGGGTTCCAGTGATTCTCCTGCCTCAGCCTCCTGAGCAGCTGGAATTACAGGCACGCAACACCATGCGTGGCTAATTCTGTATTTTTAGTAGAGATGGGATTTCACCATGTTGGCCAGGCTGGTCTCGAACTCCTGACCTCAGGTGATCCACCTGCCTTGGCCTCCCAAAGTGCTGGGATTATATGCATGAGTCACCGTGCCCAGCCTGATTTAAATTTTTTATCGAAAAAGCATATAAACAAACTTTTAAAGTTTGACCCTAAAATACTGCTCACTTAATCACATTTTTAATTTCTGTTTTGTTTTTGAGAGTCTTGTTCCTCAGCCCACGCTAGGTTGCAGTGGTGTGATCAGAGCTCAATGCAACTTCGACCTCTTGAGATCAAGCAATCCTCCTACCTCAGTCTCATGAATAGCTAGGATGATAAGTGTGTGCCACTATGCCCCGATAATGTTTTAATTTTTTTTTTTTTTGAGACTGAGTCCCACTCTGTTGCCCAGGCTGGAATGCAATGGCGCAATCTCAGCACACTGCAACTTTCACCTTCTGGGTTCATGTGATTCTCTTGCCTCAGCCTCCCAAGTAGCTGGGATTACAGGCACACACCACCACGCCGGGCTAATTTTTTTTTTGTATTTTTAGTAGAGACGGGGTTTTGCCATGTTGGCCAGGCTGGTCTCAAACTCCTAACCTCAGGTGATCTGCCCACCTCAGCCTCCCAAAGTGTTGAGATTAAAGGCATGAGCCGTAGTGCTTGGCCTGTTTTAATTTTTTTGTAGAGACAAGGTCCTCACTGTGCTGCCCATATCTGTTCAGCAATAACTATAGATGATGCATTTAATTATTAGTCAATAGATATTTATTGTCTCAAATTTCTGGACCCAAGTAATCTTCCTACCTTGGCCTCTTAAAGTGCTGGGACTATAGGTGTGAGCCACCGTGCCTGACCTTACTTTATATAATTTTGAGACAGGGTCTCGCTCTGTCACACAGGCTAGAGTGCAATGGCATGATCTTAGCTCACTGCAACTTCCGCCTCCTGGATTCAAGAGATTCTCCTGACTCAGCCTCCCGAGCAGATGGGACTACACGCACTTGCTGCCATGCCTGGCTAATTTTTATATTTTTAGCAGAGACAGGGTTTCACCATGTTGTCCAGGAGGGTCTCAAACTCCCGAACTCAAGTGATACATCTGCATCGCCTCCCAAAATGCTGGGATTACAGGCATGAACCACTGTGCCTGGCCACATATACTTTTAATATTGGGGAATTAAAAAAACAACAACAACAAAAAAAACCTTCTCTACTCCAACATTCTTTAAAAAAAAATATATATATATATATATATAAAAACATATTCAGTAAGAAAAATATCAAACTGGAAAACAAGTCTCTACATTTAATAAAGTTAAACAAATATTTATTTTACAATATGTAAGATGCCCTGCAAAGTGTTGTAAGTACCTAAAAAACAAAATAGTAAGGTGTATTAGAGAAAACATACAGGAGCATCTATTCACAATTTTTGAGAAGAATTAACTTGCTACCTTTCATGGCCTCTTCAAAAGAGCAAGGTCTCGCTGGACTAGATATTTCCTTCTTCACATTTACATTCAAAGCACCAGCTGCTGCTATTTAAAAAAAAAAAAAGATGAATGTATTTATTTACATTTATTCATCCTAAAAAACTTACATCTTAAAATTCTTTAATTAGAATATCTTATTACAAGGTATCATGTAATTATTTGTTTAGCAAAAGTTCTAGTTGAAGTAAATTTCTATCCTCTAAATTCTCCAATCTCCAAGTGGGCAGAGCATATGATTACTTAGCATAACAAAACCAGGCTGGATGCAGTGGCTCACATGTGTAATCCAGCACTTTGGGAGGCCACCTTCCTAAAGGTGGCCCAAACCTCAAGGTGGGTGACGATCACTTGAGGTCAGAAGTTCAAGAGCAGCCTGACTAATATGATGAAATCCTGTCTCTACTAAAAATACAAAATTAGCCAGGCATGGTGGCGCATACCTATAACCCCAGCTACTCGGGAAGCTGAGGCAGGAGAATCACTTGAACCCGGGAGGTGGAAGTTGCAGTGAGCTGAGATCCTGCCATTGCATTCCACCCTGGGCAACAAGAGCGAAACTCCATCTCAAAACAACAACAACAACAACAATAAAAACCAATAAACAAAATAGCGATTAAAAAAAAAATCCTTCTTGTAATAATATATGTTGATGATATCAGATGAGTAGATTGATGTAAGAAAATCAAACATTTAAAACATTAAGTATACTAGAACGCTAGCAACAGAGAAATCCATCATTCACCTATAAATGATTTATTTAAAAATACGGATTCAGAAGCATTAGTCAAGTAATGTGCCAAAGCTAAATTAAGTGGGATGAAAATACTGAGTTTATAATATAACTACTCTTTGTGTAACACCTTAAAAAATATCTTTGCTAGTATTAATGGAGAATTGCTGGGCTACCATATGTAGTCATATCAATTATATCTATTATAACAGTTTTTTTATTTTTTGAGACACAGTCTTGTTCTGTTGCCCAGGAGTACAGTGACATGATCTTGGCTCACTGCAACCTCCGCCTCCCGGGTTCAAGCTATTCTCCTGCCTCAGCCTCTTGAGTAGCTAGGATTTCAGGTACACAACACCATGCAAGGCTAATTTTTTTTTTTTAAAACAAATTTAAACTATAAATTTAATGGGCCTAAGAATATAAATCAGTTCTAAACAATAAAGTTTAATAAATTACAAATAAATTGGTTCTTGCTTCAAATGATTATATATTTTATTTGAATACATTTCAATTTATTTTCTTTCTTTCTTTCTTTCTTTTTTTTTTTTTTTTTGAGACAGAGTTTCGCTCTCGTTACCCAGGCTGGAGTGCAATGGCGCGATCTCGGCTCACCGCAACCTCCGCCTCCTGGGTTCAGGCAATTCTCCTGCCCCAGCCTCCTGAGTCGCTGGGATTACAGGCACACAACACCATGCCCAGCTAATTTTTTGTATTTTTAGAAGAAACGGGGTTTCACCATGTTGACCAGGATGGTCTCGATCTTTTGACCTCGTGATCCACCCGCCTCGGCCTCCCACAGTGCTGGGATTACAGGCTTGAGCCACCGCGCCCGGCCCATTTCAATTTATTTTCTTACGAGACAGAGTCTGGGGCTGTGTCACCCAGGCTGGAGTATAGTGGCATGGTCTCAGCTCACTGCAACTTCTACCTCCCGGGCTCAAGTTACCACCCATCTCAGCCTCCTGAGTAGCTGGAACTACAGGTGCACACCACCACAACAGGCTAATTTTTATATTTTTGGTAGAGATGGTGTTTGCCATGTTGCCCAGGCTGGTCTCAAACTCCTGAGCTCAAGCAATCTGCCCATCTTAGACTCCCAAAGTACTGGGATTACAGGCATGAACCACCATGCCCAGCCTTAATTTCTATTTTTCTTTTTCTTTCCTTTTTTTTTTGAGACGGAGTTTCACTCTTGTTGCCCAGGCTGGGGTGCAATGGCGTAATCTCGGCTCACTGCAACCTCTGCCTCCTGGGTTCAAGTGATTCTTCTACCTCAGCCTCCAGAGTAGCTGTGATTACAGGCATGCATCACCATGCCTTGCTAATTTTATATTTTTAGTAGAGATGGGGTTTCTCCATGTTGGTCAGGCTGGTCTTGAACTCCTGACCTCAGGTGATCCACCTGCCTTGGCCTCCCAAAGTGCTGGGATTACAGGCGTGAGTCACCGCGTCCGGCCAATTTCTATTTTTCAGTATGTTTATTTTATATTTTCTAACATGTCAAATGATAGTTATAACTAAATGAATAAAGAGAGAAATTTGTACACATCTCCTGAGAATGAAGTAATTTATGTTAATATGTTTCACAGTAGGTCTAACAAATGATTTACAGGCAATTGAATGAAAAAATATACATAAAATATTTATGCATGATATTAATTCCAGTAACTATAGATTAAAAAATATAAACTAATCCTTGAAAAAATTTAAATTTCTACTTTTAAATCAAGTTATTAGTTATTTTAAATTCTTCTTATTCTTTTTTTGAGACAGGGTCTTGCTCTGTTATCCAGGCTGGAAACAGCGGCATAATCATGGATCACTGCAGTCTCAGCCTGTCAGGCTCAAGCAATTCTCCCACCTCAGTCTCCTGAGGAGCTGGGACTACATGCACATGCCACCACGCCTAGCTTATTATTTTTTCTTTGTAAGGATGGGGGTCTCACTATGTTGCCCAGGCTGGTCTTGAACCCCTGGGCTCGAGTGATCCTCCTGCCTCAGCCTCCTGAAGTGTCAGGATCACAGATGTGAGCCACCTCATCCAGCCAGTACTTTCTTTTTAGAAAAACAGAAAAAGATGTTAAATATTATATCCCCATTTCTTATAGAAATCACCACTGTAGAGTTACAGCAAATAATGTGTGATTTCTGTGTCTGAATAGGCTAAAGTAAAAAAAAAAATAAAGATGTTTTAATGCCTAAGCAAAGCTTCAGAGACTATGAATGAAACAAAGATTTTATGCCTCTGCAAAGTACCTAAGTGCCTGAGAGAATACACATTTTGATTTGTGGCAGCATGGCCCCACTGGGTGTCAGAAGGTCTGTACCGGAAAGAATGTATGGAACCAGGATACGTTCAGTTGAACCTCTGCCCTGACCTTACCTTTAGACCATGTAACAAGCACCCAGGATGCCCAGATTTTCTGTACAACTACCCTAGATTTTGTGAGCACTCTTAGGCCTATTAGGTGGAAGCACTGATTAAGGATCAAAGGCCTCCAAGTATAAGGTGGGGCCAAAAAGTGGCAAAAGGAGGGTGGCAGGCAGGGATGCTCTCTCCTTATGCTGCCATATTCTAGCTTAGAACTCAAAGTAGTTTGAAAATTCTAAATTTAAATCTGGCCTCTCATGTTGTTGTGAGTGTATTTTGGTCAAATTTCACTTAATGATTTGTTAGTTTTATTTATAACTTGTAAGTATTTCAACAAATAGTATTAACAGTCACCACTTCTATTCCAAACTGTAAATATCAGGATGGACCTTGTTTTGGCTGCACTATTGAATAATGAAATATTTACCAATAGTCCCTAAATAAATCACAACAGCTATTAGTTTGTCACACTGAGACAGGCCTTTTTCTGTGCCCAAGTTTTCCTGAAATCATATTCTCTCTTATGGACACTTGAAAAGATTGTCACATTACATAAAATACAAAAAAGTACAATTGTGGTTCATGCCTGTAATCCCAACACTTTGGGAGGCTGAGGTGGGTGGATCACTTGAGGTCAGGAGTTTGAGACCAGCCTGGCCAACATGGTGAAACTCTGTCTCTACTAAAAATACAAAAATTAGCCAGGCATGGTGGTGAGCGCCTGTAATACCAGCTACTTGGGAGGCTCAGACAGGAGAATCACTTGAACCCGGGAGGTGGAAGTTGCAGTGAGCTGAGGCTGCACCACTGCACTCCAGCCTGGGTGACAAAGTGAGACTCTGTCTCAAAAAAAAAAAAAAAGTAAAATCGTGGGAAGATTAATTAGCTGAATTATAAAGGCAGAATCTAAGGCATTAGATTGTATTACAAAGTTTGCATACCTTATATTTATTCAAACAAGATTTTCTAAGAGTGATTGTTATCTGTAACATACAAAGTATGCTGGGGGCAAACTTGAAAGAGCAAACATATGGTAATGATTACCTAAGAATGGTCAAAATTAGGCAATTATTATAGCCTTTGAAGTAGAATACTTAAAAGCTGTTTATTCAGCAATTTATCGAAGGGCAATTTCTAATAATTTGCATTTATCACTAAAAATAGTGTTGATGCTAAGTACTTCAAAGTCCTGAAGTCTCTATAATTAATCAATAAAAACAAACAAGTGAAAACCAGAAAATCTCAGTGTTTTCAGAGTAGCGAAACCTTTAAGGCTATTCCCTGACATAAACTCTTTCCCTTACAACACAACTGGAGCAGAAGCTCATCAGGAAACAAATCCTATGTATTATTACACTATCTTTCTTCTCATTTTGTGCAAGCTCTGGCAAAACAATAAATGTCAATATTTAGTAACTAACAGTTACTAAAATGCTTTACCATTGATTTTGCCAGAGCTTGCACAAATTGAGACGGAATTTCGCTCTTGTTACCCAGGCTGGAGTGCAATGGCGCGATCTCGGCTCACCGCAACTTCCGCCTCCCGGGTTCAGGCAATTCTCCTGCCCCAGCCTCCTGAGTCGCTGGGACTACAGGTACGCGCCACCATGCCCAGCTAATATTTTGTATTTTTAGTAGAGACGGGGTTTCACCATGTTGACCAGGATGGTCTCGATCTCTTGACCTCGTGATCCACCCGCCTCGGCCTCCCACAGTGCTGGGATTACAGGCTTGAGCCACCGCACCCGGCCTACCACCGATTTTAAATCAAATTTCCTTAGATGTCTGAAGCCTTCCTAGAATGGAAACAATAAAATATTTGGTCTTTGAGAATAAGCCAGTATTCTTTCTCTTATTTTTGTTGAAGCCAGAATATTATTTCTAAACTTTAAAGTTTTCACACATGATCTTTAATTCTGAGACAAATATCAAGGGCTTTTTTGTTTTTGTGACAAAGCCTCACTCTGTCACCCAGCCTAGGTGTGATCTCGGCTCCCTGCCTAGGTGTGATCTCGGCTCCCTGCAACTTCTACCTCCCAGGTTCAAGAGATTCTCTTGTCTCAGACACCTCCCAAGTAGCTGGGACTACAAGTGCCCACCACCACACCTGACTAATTTTTGTATTTTTGGTAGAGAGGGGGTTTCACCATGTTGGTCAGGGTGGTCTTGAATTCCTGGCCTCAAGTGATCTGCTGGCTTTGGACTCCCCAAGTGCTATAATTATGGGCATGAGCCACCGTGCTGGGCCTTCAAGGGGTATTTTAATAGTGCTGTGCTGTGGCATTACCTTTTGTAGCAAATTAGGAGAAAATAATGTTGCAAAATTCAGATATGATAAAGAACTTAGGAGGCCAGGAGCAGTGGCTCACACCTGTAATCCCTTGGAAGGCTGAGGTGGGCAGATCACCTGAGGTGAGGGGTTCGAGATCACCCTGGGCAACATGGCAAAACCCCATCTCTACTAACAAAAATTAGCCACATGTGGTTGTCCATGCCTGTAGTGCCAGCTGCTCAGGAGAGGCTGAGGTAGGAGAATCTCTTGAACCTGGGAGGCGGAGGTTGCAGTGAGCCGAGATCACACCACTACACTCCAGCCTAGGCAACGGAGCAAGACTCTTGTCTCAAAAAAAAAGAAAAGTAAAGAAAATAGGGAATAGAAAAATTAAGTGACAGAAAGCAATTAACTAAAGCTAATTGTAACTCTGTCCTAGATACTCTTTTCTTTACTTTTTGATGCGAGGGCTTGCTTCCTCTGTCACCTTTCTTTACCTTCTACCTCACTGGATCTTGAACTATATGGAAATAACATACCAATAAACTACAGATAGAGAAGATGAGCTAATTCTGAAGTATGCCTGAGAATGGATTGCACTGAACCAATGGTAAACATGGCAGAAGCCAAGCCTAGATCAATGGAGCATGCAAAGAGTTTCCATTTCCAAAATGTTCTCCCCATTTCTGCCAAAAGGAGGCTTTTTTTTCTTTTTCAGGCATCTAAATGAATGCAAGCAAGTAACTTGTGAGACTTCATAGTTAGATATCTTTTAAACTTTTAACATTTTAGGGCCGGGGGTGGTGGCTCACCCCTGTAATCCCAGTACTTTGGGAGGTGGGTGGATTGCCTGAGGTCAGGAGTTTGAGGTCAGCCTGGCTAACGTGGTGAAACCCTGTTTCTATTAAAAATACAAAAATTAGCTGGGCTTGGCTGCACACGCCTGTAGTACCAGCTACTCGGGAGGCTGAGGCAGAAGAATTGCTTAAACCTAGGAGGCGGAGGTTGCAGTGAGCCGAGATCATGCCACTGCACTCCAGTCTGGGTCACAGAGCAAGACTCCATCTCCAAAAAAAAAAAAACCAAACAACAAAAAACCAAACAACAAAAAAATTTTAGTTCCTCTGACTTCTAAAATTGTGTGTGTGTGTGTGTGTGTGTGTGTGTGTGT